AAAATAAATAAATAAATAAATAAATCCAATCATATCAATAATGAATTAAAAAAAAAAAGAACATGAACAGAGAATGCTCAAAAAGAAGAAATAAAACTCATAAACTTGAAAAAAGTTTCAATCTCACCAAAAGCCAAAGAAATGCAAATCAAAACAATGAGATGGTATTTTTTTGATCTACTAAATTATCAGAATATTTTTTAAAAAGTAGCTATCCAGTGCTGGGAGGGTGTGCTGAAAGTGGTATTTTCATACATTACCAATAATATGTAAATTGGTACGACCCTCTTAGGAAGAGATGTGGAAACATATACTGTCATTTCAAAAACGATCATATTCTTTGATACAGTAATTTCACAGCTGAGATTCAGTCCTAAGAACAGATCCCCAAACATGGAAATACTGTTTGAATAAAAATGTAAAATGTAGTTGTTATTGAATAACTGGAAAAAACCTAGCTGTCCAGCAGTTAGAAGAATAATTAGGATTTACTCCGCAGATATGAAAAGTATGAAAAGATATGAACAGTGTGAAAAGGCAAAAAGATAGGACACTGAAAGATGAACTCCCCAGGTCGGTAGGTGCCCAATATGCTACTGGAGATCAGTGGAGAAATAACTCCATAAAGAATGAAGGGATGGAGCCAAAGCAAAAACAACACCCAGTTGTGGATGGGACTGGTAATAGAAGCAAAGTCCGATGCTGTAAAGAGCAATATTCCACAGCAACCTGGAATGTTATGTCCATGAATCAAGGCAAATTGAAAGTGGTCAAACAGGGAATGGCAAGAGTGAATGTCAACATTTTAGGAATCAATGAACTAAAATGGACTGGAATGGGTGAGTTTAACTCATATGACCATTATATCTACTACTGTGTGCAAGAATTCCTTAGAAGAAATGGAGTAGCCATCACAGTCAACAAAAGAATCCAAAATGCAGTACTTGGATGCAATCTCAAAAACATCAGAATGATTTCTGTTCATTTCCAACACAAACCATTCAATATCACGGTAATCCAAGTCTATGCCCTGACCAGTAATGCTGAAGAAGCTGAAGCTGAATGGTTCTATGAAGACCTTCTAGCACTAACACCCAAAAAAGATGTTCTTTTCATTATAGGGGACTGGAATGCAAAAGTAGGAAGTCAAGAAACACCTGGAGTAACAGGCAAATTTGGCCTTGGAGTACAGAATGAAGCAGGGCACAGGCTAATAGAGTTTTGCCAAGAGAATGCACTGGTCATAGCAAACAACCTCTCCCAACAACACAAGAGAAGACTGTACACATAGACATCACCAGATGGTCAATACCGAAATCAGATTGATTATATTCTTTGCAGCCAAAGATGCAGAAGCTCTATATACAGTCAACAAAACAAGACTGGGAGCTGACTGGCTCGATCATGAACTCCTTATTGCCAAATTCAGATTTAAATTGAAGAAAGTAGGGAAGACCATTAGACCATTAAGGTATGACCTAAATCAAATCCCTTGTGATTATACAGTGGAAGTGAGAAACAGATTCAAGGAATTAGATCTGATAGACAGAGTGCCTGATGAACTATGGACAGAGGTCGCTGACACTGTACAGGAGACAGGGATCAAGACCATCCCCAAGAAAAAGAAATGCAAAAAAGCAAAATGGCTGTCTGAGGAGGCCTTACAAATAGCTGTGAAAAGAAGAGAAGTGAAAAGCAAAGGAGAAAAGGAAAGATATACCCATTTGAATGCAGAGTTCCAAAGAATAGCAAGGAGAGATAAAAAAGCCTTCCTCAGTGATCAGTGCAAAGAAATAGAGGAAAACAATAGAATGGGAAAGACTAGACATCTCTTCAAGAAAACTAGAGATACAAAGGGAACATTTCATGCAATTTCAGTTCAGTTCAGTCGCTCAGTCGTGTCCAACTATTTGCGACCCCATGAACCACAGCATGCCAGGCCTCCCTGTCCATCACCAACTCCCAAAGTCCACCCAAACCCATGTCCATCGAATCGGTGATGCCAGCCAACCATCTCATCCTCTGTCGTCCCCTTCTCCTCCTGCCCTCAATCTTTCCCAGCATCAGGGTCTTTTCCAATGAGTCAGCTCTTTGCATCAGGTGGCCAAAGTATTGGAGTTTCAGCTTCAACATCAGTTCTTCCAATGAACACCCACGACTGATTTCCTTTAGAATGGACTGGTTGGATTGCCTTGCAGTCCAAGGGACTCTCAAGAGTCTTCTCCAACACCATAGTTCAAAAGCATCGATTCTTCTGTGCTCAGCTTTCTCAATAAAGGGCAGAAATGGTATGGACCTAACAGAAGCAGAAGATATTAAGAAGAGGTGGCAAGAATACACAGAAGAACTATACGAAAAAGATCTTCATGACCCAGATAATTATGATGGTATGATCACTCACCTATAGCCAGACATCCTGGAATGTGAAGTCAAGTGGGCCTTAGGAAGCATCATTACAAACAAAGCTAGTAGAGGTGATGGAATTCCAGTTGAGCTATTTCAAATCCTGAAAGATGATGCTGTGAAAGTGCTGAACTCAATATGCAAGCAAATTTGTAAAACTCAGCAGTGGCCACAGGACTGGAAAAGGTCAGTTTTCATTCCAATCCCAAAGAAAGGCAATGCCAAAGAATGCTCAAACTACCGCACAATTGCATTCATCTCACACACTAGTAAAGTAATGCTCAAAATTCTCCAAACCAGTCTTTAACAGTACGTGAACCATAAACTTCCAGATGTTCAAGCTGGATTTAGAAAAGGCAGAGGAACCAGAGATTAAACTGCCAACATCCATTGGATTATCCAAAAAGCAACAGAGTTCCAGGAAAACATCTACTTCTGCTTTATTGACTATGTCGAGGCCTTTTTCTGTGTGGATCACAATAAACTGTGGAAAATTCTGAAAGAGATGGGAATGCCAGACCACCTGACCTGCCTCTTGAGAAACCTGTATGCAAGTCAGGAAGCAACAGTTAGAACTGGACATGGAACAACAGACTGGTTCCAAATCAAGAAAGGAGTACGTCTAGGCTGTATATTGTCACCTTGCTTATTTAGCTTATATGCAGAGTAGCTCATGAGAAACGCTAGGCTGGATGAAGCACAAGCTAGAATCAAGATTGCTGTGGGAAATATCAATAACCTCAGATATGCAGATGACACCACCTTCATGGCAGAAAGTGAAGAAGAACTAAAGAGCATCTTGATGAAAGTGAAAGAGGAAAGTGAAAAAGTTAGCTTAAAGCTCAACATTCAGAAAACTAAGATCATGGCATCTGATCTCATCACTTCATGGCAAATACATGGGGAAACAGTGGAAACAGTGGCAGACTTTATCTTTGGGGGCTCCAAAATCACTGCAGATGGTGACTGCAGCCATGAAATTAAAAGATGCTTATTTCTTGGAAGAAAAGTCATGACCAACCTAGATAGCATATTAAAGAGCAGAGACATTACTTTGCCAACAAAGGTCCATCTAGTCAAGGCTATGGTTTTTCCAGTGGTCATGTGTGAATGTGGGAGTTGGGCTATAAAGAAAGCTGAGCGCCAAAAAATTGATGCTTTTGAACTGTGGTGTTGGAGAAGACTCTTGAGTCCCCTGGACTGCAAGGAGATCCAACCATTTCATCCCAAAGGAAATCAGTCCTGAATGTTCATTGGAAGGACTGATGTTGAAGCTGAAACTCCAATACTTTGGCCACCTGATGCAAAGAACTGACTCATTTGAAAAGACCCTGATGCTGGGAAAGATTGGAGGTGGGAGGAGAAGGGAACGACAGAGGATGAGATGGTTGGATGGCATCACTGACTCTATGGACATGGGTTTGAGTAAACCACGGGTGTCGGTGATGGACAGGGAGGCCTGGCATGCTACAGTCCATGGGGTTGCAAAGAGTCAGACATGACTGAGCGACTGAGCTGAACTAAACTCAACTGAACTGCAGATATGATGATACTACATGGAAAATACAATAAGAAGAGGACAGGATACAACGTTATCTGTGTAGTGTTGTGCATACGTGCTCAGTTGCTTCAGTCATACTGACTCTTTGTGACCCCATGGACTGTAGCCCACCAGCCTCCTCTGTCCATGGGAATTCTCCTGGCAAGAACACTGGAGTGGGTTGCCATGCCCTCCTCCAGGGGATCTTTCTGACCCAGGGATCGAACCCACATCTCTTATGTCATGGGCTGGCGGGTTCTTTACCCCAGCCCCACCTGGGAAGTCCTATGTAGTATTGAACAGCCGACTAAACTGGAAGGACAGATTTCAAATTAGAAACAGGAATCATATTAAAGTGGTATGATTATGGGGAATTGTTACTTTTAAATTAAAAATTATAGTTAATTAAAACTAGATTTTCTTGACTGCTTCCAAATGAGCTCTTTCTCTTTTGTGTGTGTGTTCAGTTGTGTCCGACTCTTCATGAGCTGGTGGACTGCAGCACATCAGGCTTCCTTGTCCCTGTCTCTGAGCAAACTCAGGGAGATGGTGAAGGACAGGGTAGCCTCGTGTGCAGTTCATGGGGTCAGGAAGAGTCGGACACGACTGAGTGACTGAACAAGTGATGTCTGCCTCAGGCACAACTCTGTACCTTTGGAAAGACTTAGCACCGACAGAGCCTCCACTCCCATCCCCACCCCAGTGAGGACAATGGCACAGTCCTCTCACCCCACCCAGGCAATGCAGCCAAAGTCCCCAAGCTGGCTGAAGTCCACAGGGATGCCACTGCCCAGTCTAGAGGTCCAAGCAGCAAGCACATTCCTGGATGCAGGCGCTGAGGTGCCCCTGCAACACACCACACTGTCTTCACTCCGCATCCAGCAGGACACGCCGAGGGAGCCGAGGCCTTCAACATATCTACCACTGGAAGGCTGTGTGATCTTTGGGCACCGTGTTTAATCACTCTGTGCCTCAGCATTCTCTTCTGCAAAATGGAGGTAACGTTGGGTCCTACCTGGAGGTAGGACCTGCCTGCCCGGGGTCAGTCTGGCACACGATGTACTCAATAAGAGACCGTGTTGCCATCTGCTCTCTAGCTAATGTCTCCTCCATCCAAGCTCTCCGCTCCAGGGTGAGGAGCTCCCCCGAGTCCCAGACGAGCAGCCCATATCCTCCGCCAGGTGGTGCCCGTTCCCCTCGCGCCACAAAGAAGCCCATGACGCAGGTGGCCAATCGGGACCATCGCAGCCTCGGTCGCCCCTGCGGGGGTGAGGGGTATCCTCTCGGCCTCTACCCGCCCTGCCCCGGCCCCCTCCCCGCGGACTCTCGGCCGTGGGCCTTGCACGCCAGCTCCTCCTCCGTGCCTCCGCTTCGGAGCCCGTCTGCATTGGGCCTGGGCGCGAGCCGCTTGTCCTGGTCCGCGGGCTTGGACCGGATGAGCGGAGGGAGGGCGAGCTGAGTTCGGGGTGAGGACGAGGCTCCCGGGAGCGGGAGCGTCCTGGTGCAGGTAACAGTCCTCCAGAACCCTCGCCTCTCCGCCGATCTTAGGTATGATATGGAAGCAGTTGTGGCGGCCTCCCGCTCGCCCCCTATTCCCAGGCCAGGCTGAGGGTCCCTCTTCGGGCTCCCTCGACCAAGCCACGGCCAGGTGGGTGGTCGGCAGGTGCCCCGGTGCTTTTCCCCCAGCCTTCCTGGCCTGGATGTACGACCTCCCCAGGGCCCTGGGAGCCTGAAATTCACACCCCAAGCGCTTGAATGGGCATTTTCTGAACTGAAACCTCTGCAAGCCTGAAGGCACTTCAAGAGATGGTCAGATTTGTTTATGACCAGAAAAAATACAAATTAACATGACAGTGAGATACCACTTTCACCAATTAGGCTGGCAAAAATTAGAAAAACTGGATAATGTCAAATGGTGGTGGGGACTGAGGGGTGTTCTGACAAGGTACAGGGCTGGTGGGGGTAGCCTGGGGCAGCCATTCTCACCAAGAATCTTGGCAATAATGAGGGAAACTAAACACAGTGAATCGTGACCCTGAAATCAGGCTCCGTCTGTTACAGGCTCATAAGGGAACATGTTAGATAATGTTTATTGCTGGATGGTTGTTTTGTGGTTGCTGGGAGCTGGAGGCAACCCAAGTGTCCACATTGGGGAAAGTAGATGGGTGAGTAAAGTGTTACTACTATGCAAGGTGGCTTCCCAGGTGGCTCAGTGGGAAAGAATCCTCCTGCCAATGCAGGAGACTTGGGTTTGATCCCTGGATCGGGGAGATCCCCTGGAGAAGGAAAAGGCAACCCACTCCAGTATTCTTGCCTGAAAAATCCCATGGACAGAGATTGGAGGGCTACATACAGTCCATTAGGTTTCAAAGAATCAGACACCACTGAGAATGCAAAACACTAGGCAACTACAGATGAAAGGGACCCGGTGTGTTTACACCAACATGGATTGAAACACCAAATGCTGAGCAGAAAAAGTAAACAGACTAAATGAGACCTAAAACATGATACCAGTAAAAGTTATCATGCACAAAACAACATAGATTTGCAAAGATACATACAGTACAAACAAAAACATACTCGTTAAACTCAACAGAATGAGTTGTACTTGAGACCCTGGGGGGTGTCCATGTCTCCTCTTTGTTGCCTTATAGGCATTTACAGATTCTTTAGATTTGGGGATAGTGGGGTCCCAGGCATCTTTTCCCCAAGGCAAGTAGTCATTACTATTTCTTCTGGGATCAGAGGAGGACAAGTATCTTTCAGTCATTCGTGTAGTTCAGAAAGGCTTCCTGGAGAAGGAAGTACTTGAAATGGATTTTGAAAAATAATATAATGAGAAGAGCTAACAATTAATGAGCCCCACAGTAAAGACTGTGTGGATCCCCTGGAGAAGGAAATGGCAAACCACTCCAGTATTCTAGACTGGGGAATCCTATGGACAGAGGTGCCTGGTGCACTACAGTCCATGGGTCGCAAAAGAGTCAGACATGACTTAGCAACTAAACAACAACAACATATCAATATATACAGTGGAATACTACTTAGCCATTTTAAAAAAAAGATGAAATAATGCCATTTGCAGAAACATGGGTGGACATAAACATTATCATACTAAGTGAAGTATCTATAAGTCAGAAAAATAAATACAATATAATATCACTTATATGTGGAATCTAAAATACGACACAAATGACCTTATCTATGAAACAGAAATAGACTCAGGCATAGAGATGAGATTCGTGGTTACCAAGGGGATGGGGGATGGAAGGGGAATGGATTGGAAGTTTGGGGTTAGCAGATGAATGGATAAACAGCAAGGTCCTACTGTATAGTGCAGGGAACTATATTCAGTATCCTGTGGTAAACCATAATAGAAAAGAATATGAAAAAGAACATATTTAAAGGTATAATTCAACACTTTGCTGCACAGCAGAAATTAATATATTGTTCAACTATACTTCAATAAAGTAAATTAAAGAAAAAAAAAAAGACTATGTGGATTATCTCCTATTGTCCCCCAACCCACCCTATGAAATGGACATTATTACCACCTGATTATGGGGGAGGAAGTGAAGAACAGAGAGGATAGATAACTCTCCCTACCTCACAAGGTAAGTGGTGGAGCCAGGGTTCTAACCCAGCTGGTCTGATTTAAGAAGCACAGCATGAGGATCTGATGGTAAATAGGACCTTGACGAGTCAAAGCAACAGACAGCTGGTGTTTGGTCACTGTCCAAACCCTGGCCTCCCAGATGGATGCAGAGATGCCAAGGAGCAGTCAGCTGGCATAGCTGCCCAGCTGCCATCCTTGAAGTACATGCCCTTGAACCAGCAGAGTGAAGTGGCTGCTGCTTTATCACCTTCTTCCTGCAGCCACTGATGCCAGGAGACGTCTGTGTCTCCACAATTCCCCCAGGGAACCTGGAGGTGAGACCCAAGTGACCATGAGTCAGCATTAGAGAAACCCTTGGGTGATGGACAGAAGCCTGGCCCTTCCCTCCAGACTAGCCACCCTAGCCCAGGGCAGGCCACACCTATCTGGTGCTTCCAAGTAATCTCAGAAGGTTTTATGGGCTTCCACTAGGAGGCCTCCCCAGCCTTCAGTACTCCCACATTCTGGCCAGGGATTTTTATTTTATCTATTTACTTTTGGCTGTGTCAGTAGTTGTGTCTCAGGGGTTAGTTGCCCTGAGGCATGTGGGATCCTCCCGGGTGGGGGATCAAACCCCTGTTCCCTGCATTGGCATGCAGACTCTTAACTGCTGGACCACCAGAAAGTCCCTAGTTAACAGGCTTTTAATTCATTATCTCACTTAATCCTCACAACAATTCTGCAAAGTAGGAGTGACAATGTCACTCTATTAAATAGGAGGAAACCGAGGCTCAAAAAGGTCCAATAACTTGTTGAGGTCACAGAAATAAATCATGTGAGAGGCTGGATTCAAACTCTCTGCACCATGCTTACATGTCAGTCTGGACTAAACTGGCCCATTATCCAACCCCTTCCCATACTTCACATTAAACTCCACAGCACCCACCCCTAGCCTTCAGCCTCCCAGGAAGGCTCCCTTATAGATGCTTGCTATAACTAGCTGGTGATCTAGGTCAGCCCCTTCGCCTCTGAGGGCCTCAGTCTCCTCATCTATTAAAACCACTGGGTTGGAGGTAGGACCTGTGAGCCGTCCAGCTCTGATGGTTCTTGGCCAGACAAGACACAGTGATCTTTCCTGAGATCACCCAAGAGGGGGTGAGGGCCCCTAGCACTGGACCAGTTTCTCCACAAGATGACCCTCCTGGTTTTTCACTGCTCTTACTTCATCACTTCAGAAATTAGACAGGGAGTTTTTGTTTTACAAAAAAAGAACTGTGACCTGTATTTCACAATCTACCTAGTTGATTGCATGCTCCTTTGTTATTTGGGTGACATTCTGTTAAAAAGACAAGATCGCAGGCCACACCCTAGACTGACTGAATCAGAACCTGCATTTCAACAAGATCTCTGGTGATTCCTGTGTACATCAAAATATGAGAAGCACTGCTCTAAGCTGTCAACACCACTTCATTCCAATCCATCATTTTCAGGCTTTTATGCCTATGTTCCCCAAGCAGGTCTAATTAATCTCTTTGAACTGTCGTCATTTCTTGAGCACCAGCTGTGTAGCAGCTATTGTATCAGTCCTTTATCGGCATTATCTCATGTCCTCTTCCTCCCCTCCAGAGAGGGGTCACAGTTTGTAATTCTGGGACACATGAGTAACACTGGGTTCCTCTCTTCCCACTCAGAAAACCTTGTGTCATTTCATACTCAAAAGACACACCAGTGTGGTTCCAAAGCTTGGAAAAATAATGCAAGTGGGACTTTCTTCACCAACAGTTCATTTAACACAGGCTCACTGCAGGAATTATAACAATTTCATAAGCTATTAGCATACAAGATAATAGCTCTTAAAAAGCCAATAAAGAAATAACATACTCAGAACAAATGATAGATTACACTATTGTTCCAGGCAGGGACAGATGAAGAGAAACTCAGTTGAAATGTACCTCTTCTACCAGTTTTGGTTTCTCAGGAGATATCTTTGCCGACAGAGAGCTACATCGAGCTCGGATTCTTGGCCAGTTGAGCCACAAGGGAAGCCCAAGAATACTGGAGTGGGTAGCCTATCCCTTCTCCAGGGGATCTTCCCGACCCAGGAATCGAACTGGGGTCTCCTGCATTGCAGGCAGATTCTTTACCAACTGAGCTATGAGGGAAGCCCCTAAGTGAAAGTGAAAGTCGTTCAGTCATGTCTGACTCTTTGCAATCCCATGGACTATACAGTCCATGGAATTCTCCAGGCCAGAATACTGGAGTGGGTAGCGTTTCCCTTCTCCAGGGGATCTTCCCAACCCAGGGATTGAACCCAGGTCTCCCACATTGCAGGCAGATTCTCTACCAACTGAGCCACAAGGAAAGCCCACATAGAGCTACCAACACAAAAATAAAAGTCCCTTGTTGCTAGAGCATGTTGCTAGGCAAAATGGTGCCTGTGTTGACTGTCCTTCTAGGCTCCATGGGGGTTTGTCACCACCACTGACAAAGGAGTAGGCTTTACCAAGGCAGGAGCTAATGCCCCAAGGTCTTCGGAGAGCTAGATCAGCAAGAGGTAGTTTTGCCCAGACTGAAACTCCCAGATATTCCCCCCAAACTCTCAGTATTTATAGTCTAAATGTCCCCTTTGCAATAGCTGTTTCTCTACACATTCTTATCAATAAACCCCCATCTGGGTCCCTCAGCAGCTGAGCCACTAAGTGCTTATCAAGAGCAACAGATGAGATGAAGACATCCCAACACAGCATACTTCACTTTCATATCAAAACAACTTCACTTCTAAAAACAGCTCTTTTGTTGTTGTTGTTTGTCTTTGACACAAACAAGTGGATTAAAGCAACTGCACATTGGTCACAAACAGCTGG